AAGTCCAGCTCCCAACGAGGTTCTCGGTGCTGCTTTTTTTCCACTCCCCCTCCAGCAGTCACGCCTACTGTTGTGTGATCCAATCAAAGCTCTCTCATAGGCACATGTGTGTGCTCTGAGCCAACAAGGAGAGGGGGATATATGGGGTGAGGGCAGGAGAAAATGAAACTGTAGCAGAGAGAGAGTAGGGAGGGCTTTATTTAGTGTCGGAGGTATGGGAAAATTCAGATTCACAGTGTAAATAACTTTAAATGTGCAGTATTTTAAGCAGAAATACAACAAAGTCAGATTCCTTACTCTATGACCACTTCAAAAAGCAGTGGTCATGGACTTTGGAGTAACCGTTTTAGTCGATATAGGCTACTGTTTCCACAAACAACATCAAGCATCATAATCACTGGTTATAGTGCAACAAGTCTATGGACAACATCCCCAACTTCCGTCAAACTATTCTGCAGATTTTTTTATAAAAACCAAGGTTCTCCCTGGCACCCAAAGCAATAATTTTTAGGCTAAAAGCTATACAAAGCATTGTGTTGGTGGGTGAAGTGTCCAAATCAAATGTGTTCAGCACTGGATAATCACTCATTGTCGGTGCCACAAATAATCCTAATATATGCATTGTTCTAGGACACCGTCCTGTACCCCTAATTCCAGACACGCATAACAGTATTTCATTAATGGTGGGATCTTGAGAATCACTTTAATGTGGTGATGAAGCACAACTGACAATTAACATCCTCATTTACCGGGTATGCTAGGAATTGAAATCCAACTCCTGTGAGCGGTCCAGGTTTTCCTTACACCTGCCTTGTTGAGACTAGTTTCATTGCAAAGCGGTGAGCAAACATTGCAAAGCATCGGATTCTGTGGATGGATGTATAGAGTACAATCTGTGTCGAGCTTATTCCAAGGGTTAATAGAGCAGAAATAAAAACATTTCATTTGGCTCAAATAAAGCAATTAGACAAGTTACAAATCTTCTGGGATTCCTCCTGTATCCATGCTAGTCTTATTATTTTAAGGGGTGGGCTATGGGTGTACACATTTTCTCTGTGCTTATTACTTAAGAAAAGACTGCATTCATTCTTTACGTCAAGCTTTCCAAGGGATGCTGGCTCAATAAACGAGCCTTCCTTTGGCACTCAGATAAGGTACAGTTTGGGGAGTTATATTTTACCAGCTTCCAAAGTGAGCTTTTTATTGGAACCCCCACACCCCTTTACCCTTGTGAAATGTGGCAATTGGGCTTTTTAATTCACCCAAATTAAAGCTGTGATCCGCTGGGCCATTTTTGAATCATTCCTCTAGCAAAGATCAACTTAATAAGAGCAATGGGGAAAGGACTGAGATTAGCCCAATTCAAGATTAGATATTGTTGTAATTAATTACTTCTGTGCAGTCAGGGTAATTCATAATAATGAACTTAAGTTGGGATCATTTTTTTATTTTATATATATATATATATATATAAAAAAAAATCAAAGGTGGTCAAGAAAGGTGCATCTTTCATAGTTCTTTAAATATCTCCCTCCTCTGTTCTATCTCCCCCATTTTTCTTGTCCGTTTAACTTTATTTCAAATATTTGCTGTCCAATTCAGATTCTGTACTCACTGCCAATCCCATTAATAAATAAAGAAACTAATAAATAAAACCAGTCACTGCTCTGACACCTACATCACGATAGAGGAAGCTGATGTATTTTAGGCCTTGTGAAAACTTATATATACAAATGACAATCCCTGTAAGACCTAGGATGCAATGGGAAAGGGGCAATGTGCCCTAGTGGATCCATCACTTTTATGCAAAGGGTTTCTCAAAGTAGGAATTTATTTGTAAGTAGTTCTTGATGGAACATATTACAATGGTGGCAGCCTGGCTAGATATAAACAAATGTATATATATTCATTGGACTCTTTCACCCACATGGTGATTAACCATTTTGTGCAGGAAGGAACCGAGACAAATTCATAGTAGGCTTGGGAGTGTGGGCAGTAGTTTTACAGACCACAGATAAGGGCCAGAGAGAATGGAGGAAGCTGAACTTCCCTACCCATTTCTGGAAATTATGTATATCCCCAGCAACTTGGCAATATACAACCTACAGGGCAAGTCTAGAAGTCAAAGTTGGGTAGAGTTCACTCTTATTGGTTAAGAACTCCACCAACTACTTCTAAGAACATTTTGTGCTATGTCCTGACTCAAGACTACTAAAAAATGTCAGTTCACCTGGTGGAGACTACGTTCGGACGCAGGCCTGCTAGTTTTACAGACCACAGATAAGGGCTAGAGAGAATGGAGGAAGCTGAACTTCCCAACCCATTTCTGGAAATGATGTTTATCCCCAGCAACTTGGCAATGACTTGTCAGATATACAACCTACAGGGCAAGTCTAGAAGTCAAAGTTGGGTAGAGTTCTCTCTTATTGGTTAAGAACTCCACCACCTACTTCTAAGAACATTTTGTGCTATGTCCTGACTCAAGACTACTAAAAAATGTCAGTTCACCTGGTGGAGACTACGTTCGGACGCAGGCCTGCTAGTTTTACAGACCACAGATAAGGGCTAGAGAGAATGGAGGAAGCTGAACTTCCCTACCCATTTCTGGAAATGATGTTTATCCCCAGCAACTTGGCAATGACTTGTCAGATATACAACCTACAGGGCAAGTCTAGAAGTCAAAGTTGGGTAGAGTTCTCTCTTATTGGTTAAGAACTCCACCACCTACTTCTAAGCACATTTTGTGCTATGTCCTGACTCAAGACTACTAAAAAAATGTTAGTTCACCTGGTGGAGACTACGTTCTGACACAGGCCCGCTATGGGTAAATCCTGTTCACACAATGGGGTATACTGCCTTCACACAGATCTGTTGTGGGTATACCCAAAGGAGTTTACCACCTGAAACAGACCTGCTTTGCCCTCTCAGCAAGAGCAAGGATCAGGAATGGCTTTTCTTTTCACACGGTTCATGGTGCTCTTAAAAGACATACCAAGTAAATTTTTTATTAAATAAGCAATCATTATTTCTTTACTTTATTCTGTAGTAGTTGGTCGTCCAACACCTACCAACAGCCCTATGTTTCCTCTTTTTTGGTACAGTACTGCTGTTTGTAATTGCAAAACATACTTGTTTAAACAATAAAATCCTTTGCATGGTAACCATTAGTTCCAAATAATTTCTTGGTGAAACCATGGGAATTCCTCAGTTTATAACAAATGTATTACATCTGAAAATATAACACCGATCACATAAGATCTGTCGCTTTAACCCTCTTAAACCATAGGGTTAAAATGAGTAATACACACAGCTTCCTAACTGGTTTATGTTTAGAAAAGTGAAAATGACAGATGGACTGTTAGATTGATCCCTGAGCTGGTAAACACCGCTCCTGCAGGCTATTAACGTCTCCCGTTTTTTTAAATGAAACCACCATCAGAATGCAAAAAGATTTTTCGAGAGATATTTTAGTATTAATTTTTAAGCAGTGATTTAGAAAGGAAATTTAATTAGAGCTCAATCACTTTTCCAGCTCTTTCTTTCTCTCCCCGCTTAAAAAAAAATAAAATAAAAAAACATCATCATTTATGCCATTAATATTGAATTATTGGCCTCGGTTTAACAGGAAGCACAGCAGCTGTTGACCTGGTGTGTGTCCACAGGCTTTGAATAAACTGCTTGGAATCATTTGTTTCTTATGGGCCATGAAGCCCTGCCTCGTCTTTTCTGTCTGTAAATTGCCCGAGGGCGCACTTACAAAGCAAATGCATTATTTCTGGCTATCACAGACACTATTTGGCTGTTATTTCTTAATTTTTAACCCAGGTCTTGTTATATCACCTTGTCTTCTTGTATCCTCAGGTGATTAGAATTACTGTATAAAAACTTGACCAGTACCTCGCAAATATTAAATTAGGCATCACAGCGTAACGAGGAATGTAGGAATCGCCTGGAAAATATTACTGTATATTTACGCAAGGTAAAAAGTATTGCTGGCGTTAACCTTTTCAGTAGAGAATCTTTTGATATGTGCCATCAACGTTTAGAAATACCAATTTCAGAGAGCATACAAATAAAGATGTGATACACATGTGCAGTGGGGCATTGGATTGGTCTATGTAGTTGGAGAAATCTCATTTTATAAGAAATCAGGAGTTAACCCGTTTAACTCCAGGGTAATAAAAAAATGCACTGCAACTTTAATAGTTAAAAGGTAAGTGACCATAAATACTAGTCCAGCTTATTTACATTCTATTAAGTGCAGTTTTCCTGCTCCCGCTCTTTTAGACTTGGTATATCTGCCAATAGTTATTAAAATATCATCGAAGAGTGCAGCCATCTTAGTTTTTAACATTAGAACCTATGAGACATCTTCTTAGAGATACAAATTCACACGTAGGACAGTATTGATTTGCCAATGCATTACAATAGGACAGCATTCTGCCCTATCCCTTAATGTTAGACCTACTTCATATCTACTTTCTGTAGCTTAAATCAGGACTCTACTGTCCTGTTTTTCACAGGACAGTGCTGATTTTGGGTACCTGTCCCGACATATTTAGTTCCTGGGTGTCCCACATTGGGATAGGTCCTGCAAAGTAACAAGAGGGACCTGGGTCCCCAGAAGTGTAGACAGTGGGTGGGGCTATTGAATAAAAATAACATTGGGGGGGGGGGGGCATCCTAGGAAAATCACCTGAAGCTTGGTGCATGAACATAGATGCATTGTCACCTTGAGGTGCAGTATATCATGCAAAACACAGAGACAGAAAAGCATATAAAGTAAAGTATTTTGATGTAAAATATAAAAACAATGGACAGGCAAAATATAAATCACAACTAAAGATAATAGAGCTTTGCCCCCTTAGTGCCACTTAGCTCCAAACAGCCCTTTCTTTGTAGCTTAGCTGGTCCACAAGTCTTCCGTAAAGAAGATCCTGATCCTAGCCTTAGAGAGATGGAGAATGGAGAGATACTTCTGTTTCTAGTTTGGAAGCCACCGGTCCACAATGCTTTGTGAAATAAGCTTGACACGTTTCGTCTTGTCCAGACTTTCTCAGAAGCGCAAAACATGTCAAGCTTATTTCATAAAGCAGTGTTGATTGTTTTTAGGTTTTATACTTTACATTAAAATACTAGACTACTGCTTTTCGCTCTCTCAGTTTTGGTTTACATGGTTTATCATACTGCACCTCAAGGTAACAATGCATCTCGGTTAATGCAACAGCATTAAATATGTCACATTTTGTTTATATTTTGCACTATTTTGTGCCAGAGACATCTTTGGTTTTCTATTTGCACTTTATTTTGAATTCTACTTGGCAGCACTTTATTCTACTTGGCACTTTATATATTATTGTACTTTATCAGTTATAGTTTGATATGAACTTTTCATGGTAACTAACACTGAACTGACTGTCACCTATTAATATTGGTTGCAGATTACTGTATTGAAAGAGTCTTGGTGAAATATACTGGATACACGTACTGTATTCATGTGTGTATTGATGAAAGCTTTGCCATTGATAAGGCAATGACGTCGGCATGTACGCACCACGGTGACGTCATTGGTATAAGGAACTGCATAGGTAAACTGCACTCCTATTTTAGTATCCCCACGTGCATAATGGCAGGTATAAGGAACTGCATAGGTAAACTGCACTCTCTTTGATAATATGTCAGGGTACCTGCCATGCTTACCTGGGTTGGGGATTGTGTGCATAAGGAGAGGGATCCTCTCCTCAGTGCCAGGCTTCCATCCAACACCAGCCGCTATGGATCCCCCTCCTTATATGACGGGGCACGCGAGCACAGACGTCATGACGCCAATGACGTCACTGTGGTGCGTACATGCCGACGTCATGACACCAATGACATCACGGCCTGCCAAAACTTCAGAATTAAAAACATTTTGGGGGCATGGCTTCGAAATTAAAGAACCAGAATATAAAAGGCTGGTTCACCCATAGCACTTTGCCCTGTTGTGGTTCTTATAGTCCCAATAGCACGTTGTATTCTAGTATTGTATTCTTGGTTTTGACTTTGGCTTGTTTGACTACTCGTCCTTCTGTTACCCTTTGACTTGGTTTTTGTACTCTCATTCTTGACTTCTGGCTCCCCTGACCCCGGCTTGTCCGTTTACGCTCTGTCCTTGTGACATCAACCCGGCCATTCGAAGGTCGGGTACATGTTACTATTCTATTACACTCTGCGTATAGGATCCCAGTATTTCTTGACATAACATCACTGGAACATTGCGAGAGGTGAGGATACAGAATGGAACAGAAACACCAATCAGCATCAATTAGAACAGGCTTACAATAGGCTGCTTGTATTCCTCACTTGGCGACCCTCTAAGGCCACATGACTTTGGGCCCCAGGCTGCTCCAGTTCCTGAAAAATCTCAGGCTCCTTCCATTCATCTCATGCCCTTCATTTCATTCCCCCTTTCTCTCATCTCATATCCCCCATTTCATTGTCCCTTCTTTACACCTCACGTCCCCCATTTCATATCTCTCACATTTCATTACCCCTCATGTCCCCCATTTCATATCTCTCCCATTTCATTACCCCTTCCTCACAAACTCATGCTTCCCCCCTTCCTTATCTCATGTCCCGCCATTGCTTTTCAACTTGCTCTTAACTCATGCCTCTTATTTCGATGCACCTTCCTCTAAAAGCAATGTCCCTCAATTTCATTGCATCTTCCTATTTCATGTCTCCCCATTTCCTTTGCATGTTCCTGTCCCTGCTATCCCACACTATCAAGTTCTGTATGATGGAGGAGATGGGCATATGACATCATATCTTCCCAGCCTCCATCAATTGGAGCTTTCTTTAACATGCAATGTGAATAAGAACTTTTCTCATCTGCTGCTCCTGCACCGAGTCGAGTGTATCGGAGAGCTACATTTCAGGATGCCCACACATTCAACTACAATTAAATCTGTTAACACTACAGGTCTGGTACCCCATTGCAGTGTTTCGGAATGTGAGCAAAAACTTAAAATTCTGCCCTTCTCCTGCCTGTGGCCCTGAGGCCATGTTCTCGGCGGCTTTGTGGAAATTACTTTCCTGGGTACATGGGCATTGGTAATTGATTGGTGCTAAGGAGAGATAGTGTATTGTGATTTTAGCTGGTGGTATGAGGGGATTATGAGAAATGGATTGTGAAATTTGGGCTGGGGGAGAGGAGGATTGGATAATGTAACTGAAGCTGGGGAATAGGAGGGATTTATGAGGTTTGGGTAATGTGTATGTTGATGTGCGGCTGATGAAGGAATTATAAGTACAGGGTGATGTTATTGGGGCTGATGACAGGATTATGGGAATTCAGGTGGTTATGTTGCTGGGGTAATGAGGGAAGTGGTGTAATGTGACTGGGTCTTATAGAAATCAGGATGAGGTGGCTATGGAGCTGGTGAGGTATTAAGGGCATGATTAATGTGATGTGGATTAAGGGGCCTATGAGGATGAGAATAATGTGTTTAAGACTGTTAGGCAGGAGTTAATAAGGGTATTATGGTGAAGAGTGAATGTGATTAATTGGATCTATGGGTGATATGGGGATTATGAGGCTGGCCGGTGAACGGCTTATGTTTTTTTATTTGAGCTTGCCTCAGATCTCAGTAAATATAGAGCCGCTTCTATTTACAGGTCTAGTTAGATGGGCAGGCTAGTCCTGGTTATCAGGTCTTGGGACCATATTTTTTTCCGAGTGTGACTTTCCTTTTTCCTCCGGCAGTTCGCCTAGCTCTTATCATATACCAGTCAACCCAGCTCACTTATGTGCAGTAATAGCACATTTTAAGCTGGCCCAACCACTTACTGCCTCTACCCTGCCCCAGTTGTGCACCTGAAGAAGATAATCTGGATTATCTTTTACAGATAGCCCACCAGTGTTCCCAGGAATGAAATTAACCAGCAATGTTAACAAACATTGTGTTCCAGGGGCGGACTGACCACTCGGGCACATCGGTCATAGGCCGAGGGCCCGAGACAGCCAGGGGCCCGGCCGCACAGCCATGCTCCAACTGGAGAGATCAGAGATCTCTCCAACTGGAACGGCAAATTTAAAAAAAAAAAAATTTCCTTCAATAGGTTGTTGGGGCCCCTGATGCAGCGCAGGGCCCTAGCAACCCACCGCTCTGTAAATCACCCCTCCCCCCCTCACATGAGACCTGGCAGCTTCACCAGCTCTCTGCCAGATCTCCTTCTCCTGTCCCATGCGGCTCTGTGTGATGGGGAGAGGTGGGGCCAGGAAGTGACCTCACTTCTTGTTTACTCCTCTCACACAGAGCCCGATCAGCGAGGGGAAGGAGCAGCATCCTGGGAGACCAGAAGGAGCAGAGAGACAGGTAGGATGCAGCCACTCTATCACTAGTCACCCCCTCCCTCCCTCTGTCACCAGTCACCCCCTCCCTCCCTCTGTCACCAGTCATCCCCTCCCTCCCTCTGTCATCCCATCCCTTAACTGTCACTAGTCACCCCCTCCATCCCTCTGTCACCAGTCACCCCCTCCCTCTCTTTGTCACCTCATCCCTTAACTGTCACTAGTCACCCCCTCCCTCCCTCTGTAACTTGTCACCCCTCACTGTCACTAGTCATTCCCTCCCTCACTCTGTGTCTTCAGTGCCCCCCCTCCACTGTCACTAGTCATCCCCTCCCTCACTGTCACCGGTCACCACCTCCTCCTAGTCACCCCCATCCATAGCACAATCACTAGTCACCCCTCACTCTGTCACCAGTCACCCCCTTCCACACTCTGTCCCTCCTTACTCTTTGGCTAGTCACCCAGCCTCCACTGTCACTAGTCACCCCCTCCCTCCTGTCACTTGTCACCCCTCACTGTCACTAGTCATCCCCTCCCTCACTGTCACTTGTCACCCCTCACTGTCACTAGTCACCCCTCACTGTCACTAGTCACCGCCTCCCTCACTCTGTCACTAGTCACCCCTTCACTGTCCCTAGTCACCCCATCCCTCCCCTGCGCCTTGGCACCCCTCACTCTGTCACCAGTTACCCCCTCCCTCCCTCTGTCTCTCCCTTACTCTGTCACTAGTCACCTGCCTCACTGTCACCCCTCCCTCACTCTGTCACTAGTCACCCCCTCCCTCACTGTCACTAGTCACCCCCTAACTCTCACTAGCCACACCATCCTTCCCTCACTCTGCCACTAGTCACCCCCTCCCTCCCTCTGTCACTTGTCACCCCTCACTGTCACTAGTCATCCCCTCCCTCACTCTGTTACTAGTCCACCCTCCCTCCCTTACTCTCACTTGTCACCCTCCTATGTCACTTGTCACCCCCCTCCCTCCTAGTCACCCGCTGCCAACTGTCACTAGTCACCCCTCCCTCTGTCACTAGTCATCCCCTCCCCTCACTCTCTGTTACTAGTCACCCCCTCCCACTCACTCTGTCACTAGTCACCCCTCCCTCACTCTGTCACTAGTCACCCCCTCCCTCACTGTCACTAGTCACCCCCCCCCTCCCTCACTCTGTCACCAGTCACCCCCCCTCAATGTGTCTCCCCCTCACTCTGCCACCAGGTGCCACTCTGCCACCACCTCCCACACTCTTCCACCTGTTACCCCCTCCCTCACACACACTCTGTCACCTGTCTCCAACCTTGGACAAGTAGATTTTTAAAAAAATATTCCACACCCCTGCACATGCAGACAGGCACTAACGCTCAATACACATATGCATTCACACTGGATGACTACATGTGCTATTTTGTATATAGTGTCAGACATGCACAACTGCATTCACACAGACTCAGATCCAAACATGCATTGATACACAGGTCTTCACAATATTCAAAGGAATGCCATATTAGTTAACATTTATTTAATGCACATATATTTGGCCTTCGAAGGGCCTGGGATCTAATTTTGCTCGGGGGCCCCAAAGGCTCTCAGTCCGCCCCTTATGTGTTCTAATAAAAAACTCTAAAACTAAAACTTTGAATATCTATCTTATAATTAAGTAGTTTTTTTATTTACTCTATGTTACAGAGTTACTTCAACCATCATAACCACTACCGCCTGCTGTAGTGATTATGATGGTAGGAGTACCCTGTAGGAGGTACCCTATTGGGGCACACCATTTCACA